ATGCCTACACTACACTCCAACCTGGGGGAGATTATAAAACCCCTGCACTCAAATTGAGGAGGTCGCAGACACTCCACAACCCAGATGGGTGAGGTCACGAAATGCCCATTGCCCAGTCTGAGGTCACGAATCCCCTGCATTCCAATGGGGGAGGGGAGGTGAAAAAGCTTCCTTGTCCCTGGCTGGGAGGTGCAGGTTCTTTTAGGCCCCTGTCTCCCCCTAAAAAAAAGCGGCTTTCCAGTGTAAAGGGGCTGTACCAGTGCTGAAACCAAACTTGTCAGCAGGTACTGGGGGGGGAAATGCCATGTTAGGGTGGCTGCTCTCACCCCCCCTTCCTGCACCCCTTCAGGCTGCGGGGGTCCTCCAGATCCCCAAATTGCTTCAAGATTCCATTATTTATTGCTGCATTTCTCTCAGCCAAGGTCAGCCCTGGGGGAAAGTAGCACTGACCCCAGGGGCCACAGGCCTGAACTGGCACACCAAAATACAGGGAGCCTCCCTCAGATCAGGCAGTGTGAGGGGGCCTCGCGTTGTTGCGGAGAGGAAGAGGTGGGGAAAAAGCCCCTGAGACCTCCCATAAGCACGGTTAACAGCAGGGGTGTCATCTTTTGCTGGGGGGGTGTTAGGGTTTGCTCCTGGAAATAAAACACTCCAAATTCAAGGGGAGGAAGGACAGCTGAAACCCTGCACGTATGTCCCCCTGCAGAAGAGTAGGAAGAGGTTCCTTGACTATTGGGGGGGGTGGGGTGGGTGGGTGTCACGATCCGCTAACACAAGCGGAGTCATGAGAGGTTCATTTGATTTCAGAGTGCAAAAAGGACAGGAAGGGATTTCAGTTTAAATCACAGTAGTAACAATGCATTTTTATTTTAGTGCTAACAACATGGGTTATGCGATAGATGAGAGGGAGAGAAGGAGTAGGGGGGGAGAGAGAGGGATAAAGAGGCAAAGAGAGAAAAAGGGGGGTAATAGCTACCAACAGACAGGACGGGGGTCGCCGTTTTCTTCTTCTGTGGGGAGATCTCTCTCGAAGAAAGTAACTTGGAAAGCCACTTTTATAGTCTGTTTCAAAGCGAGGGGTGGTTGGCCAAGAGCTGGGGAGATTCACAGGCCATTGTGATAAGACCCATTGCTCTGTGAAGCAGGTATGAGGTACAGAACAGGGCGCTCCCACCAGTCCCTGCTCACCAGCAGGAACGAAGGCAGTGTACCGTGGCAGCACAGCAAACACCTGTAAACAATCACTATTGTGGTTTAGGTCGAGCACACCTTCAAACAATCACTTAGCAAGCATCCACCTCAACCAGGCCAGAATCCCTGCACAAAGTCCCCTGAGCTCTTCAGGGTCTCGGTCTCTGTTCTTGCCATGCTCGTGAGGCAAAGGAGGGAAACTTCAGACCGTCTCTTACACCACCCCGTGACTCACGATCAGCGTCAAGAGGGCTCCTTCGTGGTGTTGTTGCGAAGTCTTCAGTTCTTGTCAAATTTTGGTAGCATAACCTGGTAAACAGAGACAGAAAATCAGACAGAAAAAGAAAAGTAGGAAAAAGATAAAAAAAAAAAAAAAAAAGAAAAACAAAAGCAAATAATCAATTTTCAATTAAAATACACATTCAGTTTCTTATTACAAAGAATAAGCAATTTCAATTAATACAACATAATCAAAATAAACAATTTCAGTCAATTTCTTTATCACGTGGGCCGATTTCCTATTTTTACTTTTCCAAAATTTCAGTTAAATCTTGGTGAAGCAACAACTGCTTTACCAGAGAAGAAGTTGCTGGGGTTATATAAGAAAAATCACATCCTGCAATTTTAGTAAAATTACAAACACAAAAACTTAAATGATTCTTTTGTATTCACTACTAAATTTTCTATAAGTACACTATCACAAGCAGTTCTCAAACATGCACATCCATGGCCTATACACACAAGTACTGTTTCAGAAGTCTCATTAGGATTTATTTCAAAGTTGCAGACATTTTGTTCTGTGTCCAAACAAATATCTTGAGCTCTGATTCCATTACTTTCACAGATAAACCCTTGTTGCTCCTGGACAATACAATTTTCCAAATTAACAGTTTGCCACTTCTCACCAATTTGACAGGCCCATTCCCTATGCTTGAAAGGATAGAGAATAGCTCCATCATGATTCAGCCCTAATGCAATGATAGGGAATATTGAATGTACTGAAACATTATGTATAGTCAATACAAAGGCTGTGGCTCTGTTTGTGCTGAGGTCACAGGTAAAATTTTACTAGGTTCCACCAGGATTGGAATTCTTTTTCAAAATCAGTGTCATTGTCCCAAATTATTTTCTGAACTTCAGTAGGAAAAGTGCCTTCTTTGCCTTCTCTTATAATTGAGGCAGTAACTGGCTGAATCCACGATTGGGCCTGAATGTAGCCAAGAGCCAAAGAGGTGTTATTTTTGTGTAGCACCATGTGCGTCAATCATTAATTTGTGATCATTTACAGTTACCTTTTCCCAATTTAGGCGTACAAGCATACACAGAGACACGCCGGAGTGCTCCCGGGCGCGCCTGGGCTCTCCGGGGTACAGCCGGGCCCTCCCTGCACCGCTGAGAACACCTTGGCAAACCCAGGCAGAACGAGGCACTTTGGGGCACTCCTGGGTACACAGGGGCACGCCTAAGCAAACACGGGCATACCCGGGCACACCTGGGGGCACCGGCGCTCACCCGGCCACACCAGGGCACACCTGGCCAAACCAGGGCACACTGGGGCACACCCGGGCACACCGCGGCACACCCGGGCACACCCGGAAACACCCGGGCACACCGAGGCACACGCGGGCAGACCCGATCACAGCGGGGTACAGTCGGACACATCAGGGCACACGAGTGCACACCGGGACACACCCTGGCACACCTGAGAACACCCGGCCACACCCAGGCATACTCGAGCATACTCGGGCACACCCGGGCCGGCCCCCCTGGGCACTCTTGGGCGCACCTGGGCACACCTTGACACACCCGAAAACACTAGAGCACACCAAAACACACTGGAACACACCCGGGTAAACCGGGGCACACCGAGGCACACTAGGGCACACCAGAGCACACCCGGAAACACCCCGGCACATCGGGGCACACCGGGGCACTCCTGGGCACACCTGTGTACGCCAAATCACACTGGACGCACCAGGGCACACCCGGACACACCTGGGCGCACTCAAACACACTGGGATGTACCTGGGTACATCCAAACACACCCAGTCACACCCACAAACACCAGCGCACACTGGGTTCCACCAGGGCACACCCGGGCACACCCAAACACACCGGAGAACACCCGGGCACACCAAGGTACAGTCGGGCACATCTGGACACACGAATGCACACCGGGACACACCCTGGCACACCTGGGAACACCAGGGCACACCCAGGCATACCCGTGCACACGGGGGCACACCGAGGCACACCTGGGCTCACCTGGGCATGACCAGGCACACCTGGGCACACCGGGGCACCTTGGGGCAGACCTGGACACTTGTGGACACGATCTTAAATATTACATAAACAGTACTTGTTACATAGAAAGAAGCAGAGATTTGTGTGCAATGTATGTAAATCTACAACTAAGCCTCCTTAATTGAAGGACTCAGTAAACATAAAATGTTACTCAGTGCTCTTATTTTCAGACTTTAAAGATCCTCAGCTTTCACATCAGAATTTTTGAAGCCTAAGGAAGTAATAACTAAAGGGTTACAGAACGTTTCTGTTTGATTGAAAGCAAATTTTATGTATTAATACAGATTTATAAAGAAAATGATAATTTCAGCCAGCTGTCTGCAGGGGGGAGGGGGCCGGGTGTTGGGTTGTTTTGGGGTTTTATTGGGGGGTTTTGTTGATTTGGTGTTTGGATTTTACAATGCAGTTCACTTAAACCTTTGACAACTAGTTTGATGCACTTAATCTGCATTAATCTGTAGCTGATAGAACTTTTATTCCCCAAGATGTCGCATCTTAATTTCTTTTAGGCTTACAGAAAGCCTAAAAGGCCTTGGAGCAGGCCCTGGAGCAGGCTCTGATGTGTCTGGTATAAAAACAAAAGCTGAGAAGAAAGGAGATGAATACGTTATTAACAGTTAGAAGATGTGGATCACAAATGGGGAGAAAGCAAACTGGTATGTTAACTGGTGTCATAGTTCTATGCTGTTATGTAGTGGCTTTACCCCACCCCTCTGACCTCAGTTAAATTCTTTAAAGACCTATCCTTCAGATATAGATATGAATGTTCTCTGCATTTCAGCGGATTACATTTTAATTTCTGCCCAGTTTATCAGGATAGCATATACAAATGCAGTCCTGAGTGCTATGCAAAGCCTAAAAAGCAAAATGAGTGGTGACATCATGGCTCCATACCCAAGAATGGCCTCTTGCGGCTATCAAAATGAAATGTTATTCTACTAGAAACACCTTTTACTCCTAGTGAAGCTAGAAACGCTGTTAGATTGTAGTGTAACATTTAATTTCTGAAAAGAAGACATTTTCCATCTGTCAAAGATTGCAGATATGACTCTGTTGTCTGGAGCATGCTATTACCATATAAACCTCTTAAATAGTGTCTTACATCACGCTGATTCACAACACAGAAATTTCCCTGAATTCCAGGAAAAAACTTTATACACTTACCAAAAAACTGAATTTTCTAGTTATTTTCTTGTTGAAGGCAGACCCACCAAAGACAATCTATCAGATTACTGAGTACCATAAAAGCTGTTTAGTTTCTAAGAGAAATACTTATTTACAACTTACATTTAGAAAAATATAATGAAGATCTTTGAAATCAGGTGATTTCAAACTTTTACATCCGAGAATGTATGTCCTAAGCATTAATTTTTATGTACATGCTATGAATAGGTTTCTTTTGTACTATTTGGGAAGGCGTTAATATCCTAAAGACTTAGAATACATGGAAAAGGTAGGGAATCTTTGCATGTTGATCTGAATAATTTTATTAAATTTTATGAAACCTTGAATCTTTGAAACTTCTACTCTCTTGCTCCCTCTCCTTTTATTTTCAGGATGAGCAAGAAAGAAAGGTTGTTAACTCAGAGACAGAATTTATTATATGGTAGAAATGCACATAAAAATGTTTAAAGTGCTATATAAATATATCTTATTAATTGTGAGCATAAACTGTATCCATCTACTTTGTTTTACACTAGGTATTTTTTGCTAGCACATACCAATCCAGATCCAAAAACTCCGGCAAGCAAAGCCTTTACCAAAGGATCCAAACTGGAAGAAAGGTGAAGACTGTTATTTCTTGTTTAGCAAGCCAGGAATTATGGTTCATTTCTAAACCAATAATAAAACAAGTGTACCACTAAAGAAAAAGACTGTTACACAACTGAACAGTTTCAGATGCTTATGTACAACCATCTTTTCGTTTCACAACATAGAAGAACTATTCATGAAACATAATTTTAAAGCTATTATTCCAGAAAAGGAATTACTCAGAATGGCCTGCAGTAGGATGACTACTTTGAATGGCTGCAAGAGAGTCTTTGAGAACTACTGTATTGGCAGGTGCCAATAAATGAGATGTAGTATGCCTTGAAAGAATAAGAAGCAAGTTGGACAATTTTGACCGTAAATACACACAGTGAGTTTTAATTTTAGCTAGTGCTGGTCAAAGATGAGGCCTTAGAGATACTGATGCTAGTTCTCTCTATACAAAAAAGTACTATTTTTAACTAGGTAAAACTGACTGTTGAACGTTAGGCAAGCAATCTGAAAACCGGAAAAGCTCATTTATTTATTCACTTGTAGTATACCTGTACTCCCTGCATATTAGATTCTTTTCTTTTTCCACTTGCATCTCAAAGATAGTTGAACTAGAAGACAAGAAGACTGCTTACAGCAACAAACTAGCTTCATATAAGGAGAAAGTAAACTGCCCAGCTTAAATAAGTTAAGGGCATGCTGATCTGCGAGTACAAAACTACTATTTGTCTTGTATGTGGTAATTTTTAGAATAAGTGTTTTGAGGAAGAAAAACTATATGCTTTGAGTCATATATTTAAAGAATAAAAACATATTGTACCTTTTAATAATCCAATTTAGTAGCACATCTCTAAACTCCCCACTTCAGCTGGAGTTAAGGTACATTGAGTTTACCACCTGTTTCAGACTAGATTATCCGCAGCAAGTCCCGCAGCAAGGCACACCGCCCCAGGCCCCCTCGCCTCACGGCGGGCGGCGCCGCTCGGTCCCGCGCAGCCGCCGGCGGGCGGGGCCCGAGCGGTCCCCGGGCGGGCGCGGCGAGGCCCCGCCGGCCACCGCCTTCCGCTTTGCAGCTTCCTGTGCGTGCGGAAACATGGTGGGTGGCGGGGTGCGGGTTGCGGCTCGTCTCGCCTCCGGGAACGCGTTGTTTTCTGGCGCGCGGCTGTCTCGGCCTTGGAGGAACGCGAGTCGCACTGGGGCCGCTCGGGGGACGGGGGTGGCGCTCGCCTTTCCGGCTCTACAGCGGCCCCGGGAGCGCGCGGGCCGGGCCGGGCCTCACGGGGGCGCGGGGCGGCACGGCCGGACCCGGGGAAGGGCTCTTGCGTCCGGCACTTCAGGTTATTCTTGGCGAGTTGGTGTTATTTCTTAGCTTTATTGCAAGGTTTGGTTCACAGCCTTTTCCAGGGAAGGGTTTAGCCAGACTAAACAATGATGGCGTGAGATACGCAACCTGACCTAGGCTCAAAATAGCTAGAGAGATGTCTTTTCCCAGTCACAGTTACCGGTGTTTGTTATATTATACCAAGGTACTAAAAAGTTTTGACCTGACATTACAACTGTCTTGATGGTGCTTTTTACAGGGGACACCGCAAAAGGATGTTATCATAAAACCCGATGCCCCAAGCACATTACTTTCAGAAAAACATGCAGACTATATCGCTTCATATGGACCAAAGAAAGATGACTGTGTAGGTATCAGTTTGTTACAGTACAGCTGTGGTTTTGTTAACAGTAATATTTATTTATTGTCTCAGAGTTAAGGGTTAGATGCATGTTGACAAGCTAATTTTTTTTTACCCTGCCATCCAAAGTATAAAATATAGGTGCCTTTGTTAATTTCTCTAGGTCTGTGATGAGATTTGGCATGTATTATCTAACTATAAATTTGAAGGTTATCATTTTAGCTCTATAATTACTCTGAGACCTGAAAAACAAGCTACTAACTTCTTCATCCACTGGAACGTACAAGTAGAGTTGCGTTTGCATGTTACTCTTTTGATGGGACAACTTATGTAAATTTTGTAGTCACGAGTGGTTGGATGTAGTCCACAGTAATGGGATTCTGCTTCCAGCAGGTGAAAATTGTCAGCAGCTGCCTATGTGAAGAAAAGTTGTGGTTACCTTTACTCAAAAGCACGCCAAGTACTGTTGCCTTTGATTGTACTGCATGTAAAAAATAATGTTTGTGTAATGTAGTTGATGTAATCAATGTAAGAGAATTCAATATAAAATTTCATTTCCTAGCACAACTTCAAATAATGAGAGTTTTGGCACTGGGAAATAATAGACTTTTTATTTTTTGAGACTAGTTGGGTTGGCAATTTGAGGGCTTCTTTGAATGCCAAGATAATAAGTGATCGGAAGTGAATTGGCACGCAGCTACTTGTTTGTGCCTCATTTGACATTGAGCTCAATGATGCTTTGAAGTAGAAAAATACAGAGAGGAAGGGAGTGTAGTATGTGTTGGTATCTACACGTGCATTTCCCTGTATGTGTGTGTATATACACACGTGCACGATGTACAGAATATCCATGAGTGGCTGATGCGTAGTTGCTAAATGGATGGAAGGTGGTTGACTAACTAGAAGCTAATTGTGAAAGTTAACTAATGTATTTTCATTGCACTATATTGATGGTGTGCTTATCTGATCGAGAACTAAAATAATGCACTGTTCAGGAATACTGTATGTCAGAGTATCTGAGGATGAGTGGTGTGTACTGGGGACTGACAGCAATGGATCTCATGGGGCAGCTGCACCGAATGAACAAAGAAGAAATTTTGTCATTCATCAAATCGTGTCAACATGAATGTGGTGGAATAAGTGCCAGCATAGGTCACGATCCTCATCTTCTGTATACCCTCAGTGCTGTCCAGGTGAGTGTAGCAGAGTAATTTTAGAAAAAAGTGTTTGTGATTAAGATTTTGATGATTGCAGATTTATGAACCAGTTACTGTTGGAAGCCCAGGGCAAAAATGATTTCAGTATCTTATTAAAAAAAAAAAAAAAAAAGCTGTATCGCTTTCAAAACCTAATTTTTGAGAATGTTTTCATGGTCAATTAATGGTTACTGGATTGTTGCCAATTTTGTAAGTTACCTTGAAATACTCCTTAGCTACAGGTTTTACTGGAGCATTTTATAGATAATTTTTGATTCTATAAATTATTCTTCATGTATGTTGAGGTGACAGATATGTATGACCAGAATAAGAGTAAATTTTTTTATTTTTATATGAGTTTTTTGGGGGTGTATAATTTAAAAATTGTAGTAGTCTTTTTGGCATTTAATTTCTTTATTTGTGCATACGCTCCCCCTGATAAGAAGCGGCTCTCAATCTTATTTTTTCACTGCAATTCTCTCCATTATAGACTTATTTTCTCATTATCACTTGTGTCTTTGTTTTGTCCTGGTTTTTCATTTTGGTGTGTTCTGGTCATGCAAACCATTGTGTGAAAAAGCACCGAAAAGGCTCAAACACTTCTGAACAATTAGCTTGGTTATTTGCAGTGTGCATCTCTCATTCTGTCTTATGGAGGAAGTATTTTAATGGCATTACAACTAAATAATACAGCATTCTTTTCTAGGCAAAAACTATGCTGGATTTAAGGTACTGGGTTTGAACTCCTTATGTAGGACAGGATGCCCTAAGGTTGATCTTTATTACCAATTACTTTAGCACTAGAATTACTCTGAATACTGTGAGAACCAGGACACAAGTTTCTCCAGGCTGTGATGTCTTGAACTTTTCCAAACTGTCCAGTCCAGCTCCTTTCACAAGTTCCAATTCAATACAAGGGGGGTACAATTTGAGGTTGTTACCTTATGTATTAGAGATGTTAGTTCTTAAATATATACTCGATATTACTAGGAGATACTTTCGTGTTAACTGAATTGAGCTGTAGCTGCGCAAACTGAAAAAGTGTGCAAAAAGGCCAACGCGAAATTTTTTTGGTAAACTTAACCAGCATGTCTTAATGAGTATGCGTTGTCTTGGTGAACAAACACTGTTTAGTCCTGTCTACGTATCCAGGATGTTTAAAGGGTCATGTCATATGTTCTTGTGATCACAGTTAATAGTAGTTTGTTCAGATTTGCAATTTAGGGTGCATGCTGTGATTACATATTTTCTGTTGGAGTTGTATGTTCTTTTTTTTGGAATTTTCCTTAAGAATGAAATTTTATCTAACAAGGATTCCAGCTAAATAGGTTTAAAGTCGTAGTGTCCAGTGTTTCTCAAGATTGCTTCTATATTATTGCGTAGTTTCAATTGTTTTGGGGTTTTTTTTCAGTTTTTTATATACTATAAATTCTTAATTACTCTCTTTACCAATTATGCAAGTTATGAGTAAAAACATGAAGTCAGATGGGGCTCAGAAACAGTATTGTTGTTTTCACAAGACATTGTATCATACAGATTTGCTGGTTTGGAAAACTGTATTGCCTACTGTAACCTTTATTTTTTTTTCCAGAATATATTTACCGTACTGTTGGTGTATAATCATATTGTTCATACTTTTTCTTAAATTATTGCATTTTGGTTCTACTTGTTATACTTAAAAATTGAATTGAAATAAAAATCTAATAATTTGAAATTAATAATTGTTGACAAGTTTGCACTGTAAATGGAATTAGTAACTAGCAGCTTAACATAGACGTATCCAAGTAGCCGCAGTGCAAAACTACAAATTGTTAAGTCTAAGGTGTCATTGTCCTGTTACAATATTAACTATAATAGAATCTGTCTTCTACTACTGCTAACATAAAACAAATAAACCTGGTTATGCTTTTAAAAGGAGACCTCAACATTGGAAAGTAACAAAGCATGAAAGAGTTCAGTCTGAATTGTTTGTATCTCCTTTTGAGAATGTCCTAAAGTTTTTAGACAGAGATAATCTACAGTGCAGAGATTAACTACTAAAGTGGGAAAAAAGTTTAATAAACCTTACCAAATACTATTCAGTGTTAATTAAATCAAGTCTTTTATAAATTCGTGTTTTCTTTTTTTTTTTTGTTAAGAAATAAATTTTTAAAATTTTTGCTTCTCTTTGATTGTTACTGTGTCTTTTTTTCCCCCCCCCCAGATTCTTACCTTATATGATAGTCTCCATGTAGTTGATGTAAATAAAATCATTGAATATATACAGAGCTTGCAGAAAGAAGATGGATCGTTTGCTGGAGACGAATGGGGTAATTTTTAGATCTTTTAAACGTAGTGTCTGGGTTGACTTGTGTAAGTCTGTAAACTTAAGTTTTCTTGGATTTTTTTTTTGCATATGTATATTATATGTGAACACTTATTTTCTGAGTCTTGAAAAAGAAGGGTTTGTGAAGGACAGAATTATGTTTCTGCCCTTCCATATTCTCAGCTTCAGTTCCATTCTTATATTAAGAATAAAGTGTCCAGTTCTTAAAGAAGAAGACTTCTGGGCATTTTTAACTTCACAGTACTTTGATATACTAGATATGCTGTTTCATAAGGAACGTTTTATACTTGCCATTTGATGGTAGTTAGTAATGATCTATATCCATGACAACTGTGAAAGGATTTTTCACTATGTGGGAGTGAGAAGAACTGGGTTTGTACTCGTGAACTTCTGTTAATACTGATTTTGCTTCTGCATACAAATTCCGTAATATAAGTGTATGTATAATATAATATAATATAATATAATATAGTATAGTATAGTATAGTATAGTATAATATAATAATTTCATATATATGTGTGTATGTATGTATATGTATATAACATGGCATTTTTAAGCTGTGGCATAAATATTTAGTCACTCTAAAAGTATTTATCACCATGGAAGACCCAAATTCTAAGAAAATCTATTGCATATCACTCTTGTTCAGGTCAAGTTCAGCAACTGAGATCTTAGCAGTATATGTATGCTACTGTAAATTGGTTCGTAGTTTGCCACGTCCTTTTTGTTGAAGTATTGTCACAAGTGTACCGATTGCACAATGGATTGTCGTTATTTCCGAGAGGTGCAGCTGAAGGAGTGTGATTCCTGATGTGGGACAGAGCAGCAGATGTTTGATTTAGGCGTTTCAGCTTGTGAAATTCTTAAGAAGAGAAGTCTTGCAGAAGTTCCACCAAGAAACCAAATGTTTGCAGCTCAGTTCAATTTTAAATTGACTCCGAGTATTAATTGCCTGGATTGGACTTGACAAGCAATCATTCTGTTATAGGTGTAGGAACTTCGGTTTTTCTTCCAGGTACAAATATGGAAAAGAAACTTCTTAACTTAAATTAGATTTCCCTAAAACGAGAAACGGCTTCTACTTCTGGCTGGATTTAAGGCAAAGCAAGAGTTGTCTGATTATTTTTGCATTATTTCCATTTCTGTGCAATTATCTGTAGAGCACTACAGATAAACTCTAAAATGAAACAGTTGTTTGTAAATTACCACTAGATGAATTGATTTGGATATATAGCTGTCCAGCTCTAAATGAGTTGTTGGCTTTTATGCATAGTAAAACATACAGATCACTTAAATGGTAACGTATGTTTTCTAAATTACTGGGGAAATAATTGCTAAGCTGGAAGATTAAATTTTATGGGGTGACTTTTTTATCTGATTTTTGTTTTTTGATGCAGAACCTAGGATTTTAACATTTTGTTTCATATTTTCAGTACCGATTTAAATGTATGTTTGTTGAAAAAATAATCTTATTTAATTCCTTACCCCCACATTATAGGAGAAATAGATACAAGATTCTCTTTCTGTGCTGCAGCAACTCTTGCACTTCTGGTAAGTCCTAAACCATCACTTGCACAAGCGGAGAATTGAATGGTACTGCTCTTTGGTACTGTTGAAGTTTCTGCAGATGAGCTTGGTAGAATATCAAACTCATTAGTTATTTTCTGACTTGCAGGGAAAGCTGGATGCTATTGATGTGGGAAAAGCAGTAGAATTCGTTTTGTCCTGTATGAACTTTGATGGAGGATTTGGTTGTAGACCAGGTTCCGAATCACATGCAGGACAGGTGAGTTTCTCCTTACGTGGAAATACTTTAAACTAGCAAGCATCCATGTACTGCCTATAAATGTTTCTTTACAACGTGTATCAGTGATGACAATCAATGTACCAAATTTGTTCCCCAAATGCCTGATTCTAGTATTTCAGTTAAAATAATCGCACAGATACGTAACCTAATCTGAGAAGACGAGTCGAAACTCAAGAGTTTAGTCTAGGTAGAAAAGAAAGATCATAACGGAACTGCTTTTATGACTATTTCAATCTTCCCATAGTGATATTGAAACTGCTAGCATCAGGATTTTTAGAGAATTTGAAAAGGGTATCAATGGAGATGGTGGACAAGATTTATCACTGTTTCTGACACAGATCATAATGAGACTTAAAGGTCAATTGTATAGTGCATTTGAGATTTATCAGCCAGTGAACCCAAATGAAAATGAGACATGAGTCCTGTCAAGCATTACTAAATTTTTTGAGGAAAGTCCATTTTAAGATGACATACCTAACTTAGTAATGGGAATATTTATCAGCTAGAATCGCTAGTGTTACGCACTGTTATTGGTGACAGTGAATTCTGAAAAAAGCTCAGTAAAATCTACTTGAGAAGAAAATGCAGTAGTATTATTAGAACAAATTAAGGGATCCCCTGAGGAAGACAATCTAAATAACTTCTTTCAACAGGAAATTGACATAATTTAAATGATTTAAAATTTAAATTTACCTTTCCTGATTATATTTCTTTTCATAGGAGAGTTTAGTGCACTTAACCTGAATGTGTGAAAAAAATAAACTTTTAATGCTGTTGCAGTTACCTGTTTATTTTGCATAATTGTGGTGAGTGCCATAATGCCATAGCCAGGATTCACCTCATCATGTGAAAATGCTAGAGCCATTTTGTTGACGAGTGTTGGGTTTCCTGTCCCTTCTTTGTTTAAAATCAGGGAAAAAAAGTTAAATCTGTTACATGCACTTACTTACCTTATAGTTCTATGTACAGTAGCATTACCCATATAGTCTAAATGGCTGGACCATGCTCTAGTGTTCAAGGAAGTCAGTTCAATAGCCGAACCCACTCTGTTTGCAGGTGGCATTTCCTGTGAGGGTTAGATCTGTTGAGCTTATTCACATACTCCTTAAAAAGGTCTCTTTCACCTCCATGTATGTTCAGTAGTTTTCTGGGAATATTGCCAAACCCTGATCTCCTCTTATGACTGGGTGACCTGCCTAGTGAAAGAGAAAGGGAGTGGATAAAGTAAAAAAGGCTTGAGTAAAGCTTTCGACATGCTTTCCCACAGCATTCTCCCTAAGAAGCTGCAGCCCACAGCTTGGACAGGTGCAGTCTTGGCTGGAAGAAAAATAGGCTGCGTGGCCAGACCAGAGAGTGGTGGGAAATGATGTTAAATCCAGTTGGCGAAGGGTCACAAATGGGATTCTCCAGGGCACAATTTTGGGGCCAGTCCTGTTTGATATCCTCAACAGTGGTCTGGATAAAGGAATCAAGTGCATCCTCAGTAAGGTCCCATGAAGGACCAGCTTGTGTGGAAGTTTCGATTCATGTGAGGGCAGAAGGCTCTGCAAAGGGGTCTGGACAGGCTGGATCCATGGGCCAAGGAAAACTGTGTGATGTCCAAGAGGGCCAAGTGCCAGGTCCTGCACTTGTGTCACAACAACCCCGTGGAGCGCTCCAGGTTTGGGGAAGAGTGGCTGGAAGGCTGCCCAGCAGGAAGGGACTTAGGGGTGCTGGTCAACAGGAGCTGAACATCAGGCCGGGTGTGCGCAGGTGGGCAAGAAGGCCATTGGCTGTAGCAGCCACAGTGTGGTCACTCTGGTCACTGACCTGGTCACTGACCACAGCAGTTGCTGTCCCCTGTGCTGGCACTGCTGGGGCACCTCCAGTCCCAAAGGCAGTTTTGGGCCTGCCACTTTCAAAAGGGCATTGTGGTGCTGGAGCACATCTAGAGAAGGGTAATGCAGCTGGGGAAGGGACTGGAACATTAGGCCTGTGAGGAGCAGCTGAACTCAGGTACTGAGTGTTTTGCTCAGGTGAAAGCAGGTACTGGAGTGTTCAGTCCTGAGATGAGAAGGTTCAGGAGAGACTTTAATGTTCTACAACTACCTGAAAGGAGGTTGTGGCAAGGTAGGGGTCGGCCTCTTCTTCCGGTCAGTCAGTAACAGGACAGGGGAAAATGGCCTCAAGTTGCACCGAAGGAGATTCAGGTTGGATATTAGGAAGAATTTCCTCACCAAAGGAGTGATTAATCACTGGAGCGGACTCCCTAGGAAAGCGGTGGAGTCTCCATCCCTGGAAGTGTTCAAAGAATGAGTAGATGTGGCACTTTGTGATACGGTTTAGTGTTATTTGGTGGTATTAAGTTAAAGGTTGAACTTGATGATTTTAGAGGTCTTTTCCAACCTAAATGGTTTTATGATTCTTTGCTTTTTGTGCTTCAGTGCTTTCTTAGAGACTGCATGAAATGTGACCAAAGTATGCTGTTGCACCATAAATGTTATCTCCCAGGAAAAGACTATTAATTTTTAAATTAATTATTAAAAGGGAATTAATCAGTGCAGATGTATTACATGGCACACTGAAAGTAGGCGTGACATGACCAAACATAGAGGGAATTACCAAGATAGTTAATGAATCAGGTTAGCCTGTTTCTGCTGGGGATTTCATTTGGTCTTTTGATTACTCTCTGCAAGCGTTAAAAGGTAAAAGGCAGGTAAAGGAAGAAACCGTAGACTGGATGCAAACTTTCAACAAAGACCATATCCAGCCTGCAGAAGTCAGTTTGACTGCTCTGGCTTGAGAGTCTGTGTTTTTAAAATAAAATTACATGGCTCTCTCAGATCTCCTAGGGTCACTTTTCAAACCTTGCATCAGTGTCTTATATTAGTAAAATACTACTGCTATGTCATTAAATTGTGTTACTGGTACTTTTTTACAAAAGCAACTGTAACAGTAACATTCTTTCCTGAAGGAAAAGTATTTGAAACTAAAAGTTGAAGTATTGTGCATCGTTTACATGACTATTGCTGCTTTGAGATCTTCCTGCATTTAGTCTGCTAAACTATATTTAGTTTTTAAATAAACAAAAAAATTATGTCTGTAATTTTAGATCTATTGTTGCACAGGATTTCTGGCTATTACAGACCAGTTGCATCAAGTGAATGTTGATTTGCTGGGCTGGTGGCTTTGCGAACGTCAGTTACCTTCTGGAGGTCTCAACGGACGACCAGAGAAGGTATTGTGCGGCTTCTTTTCTTTGTTCAAACCTCAATAGAGATTGTTTTTTCTGAAGCTGAACTTCTTGCAAAATGTCACAATTTGTACAAAACATTTAGTAAACTTTTCAAAGAAGTCAGGCCTTCATCCTGATTCTTCCTTCTGTTACTAGCACCTGTCCTGCAGTCCTTAGCTATGCTCTGTTTGAGTCCTCAGTGTAGGAAAGTACACTTACTAAAGGATGTTTTGGTCACCACTTGAACCGTTGTTCCGTGAAACTGGGTCTTTGACTTTGGGAATGATCTTTTCCATAGGATTTGTATAAAAATTACTGTTTTACTGGATGTAAATCCTGTGTCATAGTGTTCCACATCACACTAGAAATTTGTGTAACCTAGAAAAATCTCTGGCAAATAGATAGTCAGCAGATTCCCCTGCTTCTGCCCTTGTCCCCAAAATACAAGTAGTCGATATGAACTTCTTTGTATTTCCTCTTGAAAAGAGTGCCATGTGCCTTTTCTCACAGAAGGTGAAATCTTTAAAACTCACATTCCTGTGGTCTTGTTTCTCAAAGAAGGGAAGAAGTTTCAGAAAGATATTTTCCCTTCCTGAAGACAGAAGCCCACCAAAAAGAGACGCTGTCAAGAAAGTCTTTTACTCCAAAGACACTCTTAAGTGTTTTGTCTCTGCAAGGGTATTATGATAGCGCACCTGATAATGTGCAGAATTATCAGTAAAATTTGCAACGTTATGTTTAAAACCAAATCAAATATTAATCTGCTTCTCTGCTTGCCAGTTACCTGATGTATGTTATTCGTGGTGGGTGCTAGCTTCTTTGAAGATGATTGGTAGGATACAGTGGATTGACAGAGAGAAACTGCGTTGCTTTATTTTGGCTTGCCAGGATGAGGAGACTGGAGGATTTGCTGATAGACCGGGAGATATGGTAAGTAATATCTTTTAATTTTTATTTATTTAATTTGGTTTTAATTAAAATATGCATGAAAATTTCAACTGGAAATTTCAACTTTTGTTTGAGTGTAACTCAGCTCATGGTCCAGGTGAGTCTTGCAGAGGCTGCAATATACTTCAAAGGAAGAATAGAGTAGAATCACCATTGAAGGCATACTTGGGGAGCACGTACTTTATGATGCGTTTGTATTCCCCAATGAAGTCAGTTGCCATTCCTTACAAAATCTGGTTTGGTTCCCATGACATGTGCAACACAAACCATTTCTCACAAGACTGTTTAGAAGATTTGTGTAAAAACATCGTTTGGTGACAGGTTTTCTGGTGGCTGTGTGGGTTTTTTTGGTTTATTACTTTGTTTCATGAAATGATCTGTAAGCTGAAGTCTGGTGTAGATTAAGTAGTCTTCAACTCTCTTGGTGGTTCTGTCTGATCTAAATAAATCATGAGCTTTTATAAAAAATCCCTATACACTAACTTTCATTCTTTGCTAGCCCACCTACTTAATAAATCTTGTAGCTGGCATTTGTCTAGTTGAGGGAGGAAGAAGCTTTTTTGATAATACAAGAGGCTGGTGGTACGTATTCTTTGCTTGTTGAGAGAGCAGTTACGATTTAGCCGATCTGTTCTCTCTGGTTTCAGTTGGAAGTGATTGATACCAGTCCCAGTGAAATGGCAAGTAAAGTTTAAATAAAGTTTAAATAAAGTAAAAAGCAAATAAAGCACTTTCAAGAGTGCTGGACAGATAAAATAAGAAGTATTCTGAGACTTCATTGCAGCTCCTATTGAACACTTGGCTTATTTGTTAATGGTCTGGAGTGGTATTAGCTGTTTTTATTGCAGACATGACCAGATCTGCTTCCTTCTCCACAAATGCATTAAAAAATAAAGCAACTTTGTTTTTGCAAGTAGGTGCTTTATTCCCAGTCGGGAGAGAAATCTGCTAACTCCAGTCTGTCATTTGGAAAGTGGTTTTGTGTTCTTAAAATAGGCAGAGTTTTGTATTTCTAAGGAGCTTACAGGAAGACCTTTTCTGTTTACAGAATTCTCCAAGTGAAGCCCAGAACTTGAAGTCTAAATGATTTTCTGGCTTTGAGTACTGAAATATTTGTGTCTTCTTGGAAGAGCAGCTCTGCAGAGCCTTTTCTCTAAATCTAAGGAGAGCACCTTTGGGAGAATTTTTCTGTTCTGTTAGGAGTAATTTCATATTATTTTTACCTGTCTTCGATTGTTGATGTGTAGAAATTTCTGCTCCTGTAGAAATGTTGCCATAAATGTAGCCCAGGTTTTTACTTTGTTCATGCAGAAACTCATTCCTAATAGACCTTGTATATGGGCTGTTTTTTCATTTGTTTTTCATTTTGTGGGGTGGAGAGGGAGTGGTGATTGTGTGGTTTCGGGAGTAGAGGTTTGGGGGGGGTTTGTTTTTATTTATGGTTCTGGGAGGTTTTCTAGCAAAATAGGTTGCTACTTTCCTCTCAAGGTTGTGCAGCACAGCTCTGTATTTGGAGACCATTAAAGAGCATTATGATGTTTCTGAAGAACAAGTAGGGAATTTATGGAAGTGGTATGTGTGGGTGATACAGTTTACTTTTAAAATGCTACTTATCTTTGCTTCTACCACCTTGTGATATTGCATGCTAATAGACAACCGTGAGTGCATTCCATCTAACTCAGAGTTGAAAATCGTCTTAGCAGCATATAACTGACAAGCTATTTCTGACAAGCATTCCTGAGTAAATCGTGGTATTCTAAATGCCTGCCACAGAAATTGTCTTGCTTGTCAACATATGTTACCACAAATGAAAGTTTATTCAGTTGTATTGTCCTCCCTGGCCACGGAGATTTTCAGTTTCTTGCTGGCAAACAAAAATTTCATTCTATACAAGTGAAAAACCAATTGACTTTTGTAAATGGACACAAGCTTCCTTTTTTTTTTCCCAGGTGGATCCATTTCACACGTTATTTGGTATTGCTGGGCTATCTTTATTAGGAGAAGAACAAATTAAGGCCGTTAATCCTGTCTTTTGTATGCCAGAAGACGTCCTTCGAAGAATAAATGTGCAGCCTGAGCTTGTAAGCTAAGCCTTGTAGAGACAAAAGGTTTATGTGACCAATTGCTTTGTTTTACTTATCTCATCTGTAAAACTGTCAGCATATTCTTTTGGATGTGTTTATGTTCTGGAACTGAAGCAATAGCTTTTCTGTGGACTGTGTCACTTTATAAATTGTATCAGAACAGGATGGTTCTCATAATCTGAGTGTAACATGTTCTTTGGTTGTATTCTAAGATGTATAGAAACATTTCAATTCTGTATCTAAATGTATGGGCCTTGGCTTTTTTTTTTTTTTTAATATAATATTCAAATCAAAGCTTGACTATGTGAATGCTTAGCTTTTCTATCCCTGTAATATCAACCATGCTAGTACTGGTCTTCATACAGGCATCTTTCGATGGTGGATTGTGCAAAGCACTTGAAAAAAAGACTCAAACCAAAACAACAACAAACCCAAACAAACAAACCAAAAACACAGTAAGATCCTACCTAAGCCATGCACTTAATACCACACACTTACGTATTTAATTTTTCCTGTTCATGTTTGGCATCAGTTTTCTACATTGAGAAACAGCTGCTTCTTCTCACAGTAATTGATACCAGTGAAGCCATGATTATGATCCTTTTAAATATATATGTCTTCATTTATTGATGAGTCCCTTAGACAAAATTCCACTAATGCTTGAAATACAGCATACCTTGAGTACGTACAGTGAATCTTGCTAGCATAAAACATTCTAGAGAAGGTCTCCGTTGCACAGTGACTTGTAATTGAACATAGAGTTGATTCAAAATTTGTTGCTGGGCTGAAATCCTGCTTTTGTAGCTTTCAAGACACTAATTGTCAGTACTTGATTATGATTATGGTGTAATTGAAAATAAAACTAGCTGTGGAAAATGCTTGTTCTCTGAAGGGTGAAATCCTCTTTGTCTTCATAGAAGTGCTAAAATTGCCTCTTTATTCCACACACCTTAGCTGAGACTGAATGGTATTCCACTTGTAATATACAGTAAAAGGTAATTATGAAGGGGAAGAAGTCTTTGATAATCTCTGTACTTACGCTTAAGTAAGGCCTAAAGTTGTTCTACCTGAACTTCACTCAGCAGAGATAGCCACCTAAGATTTGGCCTGCACAGATGTGTAGTCATTTGACATATAAACCCAAACTCACTGAATAGAAAATACTGGTTTAGGCTATAATATTGGGAATTAATTTGATAATAGTAAAGACTGCTCTAGCCATGACCAGCTTTTGCACCAACTTCAGTCACAGTAACAAAGTACCTTTTAGCACTTCAGAAGTAAAGGCTTTTTCTCGAGTACAGCAGAACAGCCTGAGGTTCGGTTTGGCTGGAGAGAGTGCCTTAGTCACGGCGGTCAAGCAAATGGTTGAGCTTTTTCTCCTCTTAAGGGTGTGTTCTGCAGGAAAAGAATGCCTCAAGCTATAAAAGAATGCCAAAGCTATACATTTCCTAACACCTCAAAGGACCAAGAACCAGCCTTAAAATAGTCTATTCCTTCTCCCAAGTTTCATATCCCCCTTCACACCTCCACTACCATCCTGAAAAGCATAGTCTCTTCCTGTTTCTAGCAACTCTGAAATCCTACATCACTGTTGTACCACAACTACAGACCTTGAATCAACTTCCTCCTACCAAAATGTTGACTCTTTATCAGAAGTCTGACAGATCTCGAATCTGACAGGCTACGCTCTGTCCAGCGTAGCCTTGCCAACATCTCCCATTTTTAAATTCCAGGTATCAAGGAAAGCACTTTTCATTGTCCCAAGACACATACCCAAATTCCATTCGCTGCATCTCATGCAGAATTTTCAAAGACAAAAATCAAACCCACAGTATAGCCTGAAACTTTTGAGCAAACCTTCCTTCAGAATAACTAGAGTGATCTGGGTCCCGTGCAGTGGTAACCATTCAGAAATAGCTCAGCATTTGAATTACCCTGATGGAGGTGAGACAAATGGCACGGCAGGCTGTGTGGAGTAGGCGAATGCGTATGGGCGTAGTGGACATCTTGTCTCTTTGGTTTTTTGGGTGCCACAGGAGATGCTGTGCAACCGGTGAGCGGAGCATCATCCACTACTGAGTACAGTGTTTTTGTGGAAGAGGTCAGGGTTGGCTGGCATGACCTCCAGCCCTGTGTTTTTGCAAATGAAGAGGCATCTATCGGCCAATGGTAGCAGCATCCCAGTTAAATCAATGTTGACCTTCTTGAGGGTGGATTCTGGCGCACAGCCCTCTGAAAGCAAAGTCGAAGAGCCAGTGGTCTGAGGGGGTAAGGTGGAGAGACTGCAGAGCGGGATGGACGAGGTGCTTACATCAGTGCAGCGGTGAGGGGTGTTTAGGATTGGTCATGTTTTGGTGCTGAGAGCAGGTGTAGGATTCATTCCACATGAGGCGAGCATGTGCTGGGCACGGCAGCTCCCGCCTGTGTCCGGCCTCATCCAGCGGTATCTTTCCCGATCCAGAGCTGTTTTTTCTGCCCATGGTAGTCTCGCATATTACAGTCATGTCGTGTTACGTGTAGCCTGTGTGTGCTTGGTGTGCTGCACCATATGAAAACCACCCAAACCCTACCACCACCTAATACCCCAATTACCCCTACACAACCAGCTCCACCACCCATCACAGCACCCCATGCCCAAGCACATCCCCGTCCTCTGCATCCCCATGCCCAAGCACATCCCCCACCTCTGCACCCCTCCATCCCCAAGCACTTGCCCCTCCTCTGCACCCACCAACCCATAACCCACCCCTCCCCGAACACAGCGCCCAGTGTCCGTACCCTGCCTCCCATCACTCCACCCTGCCCCCAAGCACCACAGCCCACCACAATACCACGCTGCTCCACCGCAACGTCATCAATGACAGCAACACCACCGCCATGTTCACCAAAATCATATTACCAAAATTTCCAATAAATCACTCACGAATAAAACAAAAAAAACCCTTTAAGAACACAAGCACGATACTGCCCACACATCTCCCCAACAGCAACACAACACAACAAAAACCCCCTCACACAAACGCACAATCAATCGCAACCACCGGCAATCTGGCAGGCACAGCACCAGCTGGAACCCCCGTCACAGGCACCGTAATAGTGACCAGAAATACTTCTAGCCACAGATAAATGCACGTCACCATATTCAACCCAAAATGCATATGCAGACCACCATATCGAACCAGAAATACAAAAACACCACCATTTAAAGGGTTAGTGTTAGGAATAAGGGCAGGAGGTCAAAGGTCATGGGGTCAAAGGTCAAAGGTCATGGGGTCAAAGGTCACAGGGTCACAGGGGTCAAAGGTCAAAGGGCACGAAGTCACAGGGTCAAAGGTCAAAGGACACAGGGTCACGGGATCAAAGGTCAAAGGTCACGGGGCATAGGTCACAAGGTCAAAGGTCACGGGCCAAAAAGGTCAAAGGTAACGGGTCAAAAGGGCAAAGGACATGGGGTCAAAGGTCAAAGGTCACGAGGTCAAAGGTCAGAGGTCACAAGATCAAAGGCCACGGGATCACGGGGTCAAAGGTCATGGGGTCAACAGTCATGGGGTCAAAGGTCACAGGTCAAAGATTATGGGGTCAAAGGTCACGGGGTCAAAGGTCACGGGGTCAAAGGTCGAAGGTCACGGGGGTCACAGGAACAAAGGCCATGGGGTCAAAGGTCACAGGGGGTCAAAAGTCAGAGGTCACGGGGTCAAAGGTCAAAGGCCACGGGGTCAAAGGTCATAGGCCAAAGGTGAAAGGTTACGGGGTCAAAGGTCATGTGATCAAAAAGGTCAAGGGGTCACGAGGTCAAAGGTGAAAGGTCACGGGGTCAAAGATCACTGGGTCAAAGGTCACATGGTCAAGGGTCACAGGGTCAAAAGTCAAGGCATCAAAGGTCACGGGGTCAGAGGTCAGAGGGTCAAATGTCAGAGGTCACGGGGTCAAAGGTCAGAGGTCATGGGGGTCAAAGGTCAAAGGTCACATGGGTCAAAGGTCAAATGTCACGGGTCAAAGGTCAGAGGTCAGGGGTCAAAGGTAATGGGATTAAAGGTCATGGGTCAAAGGTCAAAGGCTCAAAGGTCAAAGATCACAGAGTTTAAGGTCATGGGGTCAAAGGTCACAGGGTCAAAGATTGAAGGTCATGGGGTCAAAGGTCATGAGGGTCTGGGGTCAAAGGTTAGGAGGTCAAAGGCAATGAGGTCAAAAGGTCAAAGGTCACAGATCAAAGGTCACAGGCTCAAAGTTTTAGTGTTCAGGAACACACATAATCATGAATGATTATATGAAGATGCTTTATTGAAGAGTTCTGGGTGGCAGGGTACACATACCCAAATCTGACCCAATTTGGTTTTGAGTTGAACATGTTTTAGACTCTATTGTTATACAGCTTACATATTAATTATTAAACTTACATTGTTCTATTGTAAGCATTGTTTTTACCCAAGCATGGATTTCTTGTGATCCCCCCTAACATTGTTCCTCGTGTTCTTTAAACTATAATTATATCTAATCACATCTAACAATTGTATCATTTATCATATACTGACTACACAGGTGCTGTTTGACCTGATCTTTAGCAAACACAAGGCTTAACATTTCTCAGGGCCTGCTTTTCCCAGGGCTTTCCAAACCTAACTTTCTTTCTAAGTCTCCGAATTTTCTAAGATTTTAGAACCTTTTACTATCATTCCCCTCTTTGAAAGAATTTTCACTTGACTATAAGTGCAAATGTTTTCACTTGATACAGTCCTTTGTTTCTGAGTTGATACTTGGTGTTCTTCAAATCCTTGATTGATGTAAATGCCGTCCTGGATGTTGTCACGAACTGGAGAACCAGAGGATGGTGGGTGTGGATCTCGTGCCAGTGCCTTTATTATTTTCTAGTTCCAAGATGTTTTCTTCTGTATTTCTCCTTTTAAGATGCTGTAAACTAACCAAATTGCTAAGAATACAATTAGTAAGATTATCACATTCTCAATGATAGATGTAATCCATGAACTCATATTCCACCCTAACCC